ATGATATTATGCTATATTAACTGGTATAATATTAACAAAAAGTAGTTTAATTAAATTTTGAAAAACTTTATGGCATGTGTAGTAATAGATGCACATGGAGAGAGGGTTAATGAAAGAACGTGCATATGAATAAACATTTGAAATAATTGTAAATTTATTCCTAGCTTGTTAAGTGGCTAATGTTTTAACCATTGATCCATTCTCTTTTATATATATGTATATATATATAAACTTTGGCTTTATGTAGCCGAAATCTTAGGACTTTGTTATTTTTTGTTTTATTCAAATCTGAACATACTTGAATGTATCTTCATCTACAGTAACTAATAAAAATTAATGTTTAGGTTTTTATTATTGTATATTTATTCAGCTCAAGGAAAGATGAGCAGCATTATCTCTGAAATTTTCAACATCAATCATGACTACTGGGGCTCAGCTATGTCAACTTTAGCCAAGGTAAAATTAATCTTTCAACTTTACATTTAATTAAAATCATCTATATGATTACTTACTTTAATTTTTCATAACAGGTCGTTTGTGCACTAAAGTTTTAATAGCTTAGCAAAACTTGTACAAAGGTTAGTAAAGTTTCTTTTAGTAGATCACTGAAAACTAAATATGATATTTACCATACCTTTTGAAGACCTAACTGTTGCATATAAAACCATTTTACAGTCGCCTGTAGAGTTAAATCACATTGATTTCTCAAAGAAAACTTGTGCACTCCTGCAGTACATGTGATTTGTGCTCTTGGTGAATTTTGTTATCCCTTGAGATTAACAACAGTAATGATTTTTCATTCTGTTTCTCTTTAGACAGATATGAAGTCACTTGTAGAAGACATAAACGACAAACATATGGGTCCATGGGCTGAGCTCTGTAATAAGGACGGCATATCCAACACTCCTCTCAATCCATACTTGTATGAGGTAAGACAGTTTTGAACCTCAGTATGCAATTATGACAGGTGTAATTAGTTTTGATAAGTTAACAGTTCTTGAAGATCTATTTAAAAGCAATTTGAAAATATGAAGACAATACAAATTTGAATATTTTTCAAATTGCAGGATGAGAAAGTAAGCTCTTATTTACTGTGTAGATACATCTGTTTGTAAGTAAAGAATATAAATTGAGTAATAACACTTTTAAGGTGTTTAAATTGGGTGATGCAGAAGTTCATTGAAAGGGGAAATAATTTGGAAATGGAGAGGCATAGGGAAAAGATTGTTAGTGATATGGAATGAGGTGGTGTGGGCCTATTCTGTGACAGTATCTTTAAAGTTGTTCAAAGCCATGCCATTAAGAATTTTTATTAATATGCACACAGATGCTTAAAAACTGGAAAATTATTATAAATCTATGCCTGGAAAACGTGCCTTTAGTTTCGAAAAAGTAATGGAAAATAATTTTAATCCCATTCATATTGAAATAATACATACTTGTGTTTTATTTTTCAATGTATTTTGTATATTATTTGCCCATACTAACTATGTAACTGGTTTGTCGATTTCAAAAATATTTGCAAAAAGCATCACGCGTAACCTATTGGCATTTCTATCGGAGTTACTCACATCCAAGGTTGCAGTCATAAATAACACAAGACAAAGCAGTTTATTATGACAAGTGATGGCTTGTTTAAATACTATTTGTGGGTGTTTTTATTAATTGTTTAGATTTAACAAAGCATATTCATTTCATTCTCTTTAGTATCATGAGTTTTTAGTAATGGACACAAAGTTCCCTCACTACTATTTTTTCTACTAAATTAACATTACAAAAGCCCACTTTTTTATCTGAAACTTACTCCAACATGAAAAATTGTAGAAGAGTTAGAAAAAACGTGTTAACATATCATAAATATTCTGTTTTAATCTGAAATGGGAACAGAAGGGTTTGTGTCTTGCCTCAAGGCTAATATGAATACACATCTTGCTCTTATTTTCAATGACTATGGTGTCTGAGATGCGTGATGCATGTAAAGTATTGGCCTGAGGTTGTTTTTATTCTACTTACCTGACCTGGCATGTAGATTTTTGTATGAAATCTTCACATTTCATACATTTTAGAACGATGCAAAACTAGGCAGTCTTTGGCTTAGCTGGCTTTTCAATTAACTCTCATTCTCACGCTTATAAGCAACTTAACGGCAAATTACCCAAACACTTCATTATATAAGATCGTTTTCATAGAAATGACCTTCTGAAATTAGGTTTCCACCCAGTGATTGTAAACTTCTTATAATCACATGTCAGTGATTTATATTAATGTGCTTTTTATGTGATTGAACTTGCACGTACTTATGTAATGAAGATATTAAGTGTTATCCTCTGCTATTACATAGAATTTAAGTAAATATTTACACTATGACAAAGATGAGTCTTTGCCTTCTGTTCTGTTACTTTAAATTTTCCTCTCTAGCATCTTTCTCTGGCAGTCTATGTGTAAACATTGCCAAAAATGCTTTGTGTCTGTATCATGTATGTAATTATGTTATACTAATATTCTGAATAAATAAACATTAATAATAATGGGCCTATATGAACATAGTTTACCATTATGGGCAAACAAATAAACATCGGGTATTAAATGCAGAAAGTTTTTATGACATATATCATCAAGAGTTTTTCAGTATGTTTAGGACTAAAAGATTCTGGACAAGTGTATTTTGCATTTAGCATTTTGAACTGGAAAAGTTGTTGTTTTTTCTGAAATTTTTAGGCAGATGAAGATACTTACTTTTTTGTTATAATTAGAAAACCTAATATATTTGTTTTACTCATGTGGCAAACTGATTTTATACTTACTTATTAAGTTATAGGCAATATATTGATTATGTATAAAAGGAACACCTCATTGGCTGTAAGTTGTAAACACTTAGAGAAATATAGGTATTTTAGTTAAAAAATGCCTTTCAATTTGGGAATCAAACTAAAAATTTGTAATTAAATAATCATAACATATTTAGGCCCATATTGTACTTGCTAAAGAGTTTTATTACAAGATATTAAATATTAATATGTAAACAAAACCTAGTTTATGAAAGAAGTGTTGTATTCTCCCTTCATAATCATATGAGGTGTTTTTTTATTCTTCAGGAATTTTTGTATGACAGAAACATATACCTGGATGGAAGTAAATTAGAAAGCACTGGATTTTGCTATGAAGTTCCTAATATCACTTTAGATAGAGTGAAAGAGGTACGTAAGGTGATGAAAAAATGAAGCTTAAAAATTAGAAATATTATGTGGTTCCAAAGTTAATAACATACTCATTCATTTAAGCTCTCGGCTAGCAAGAAAAATATATGTTACGTGCAACTGCTTAGTATTATGCTTGCACAGTTTTTTCTACTTGTTGGTATGACAACTTCAAGAATAGTTAAGATACAGGTTTACACAATGTTGTTTCTTTAATAGATTGTTTAGGCAGAGTATTCATGATGAAACTTTGTAGAATGGATGGTAACTGCTTGTTGTAGAGACACAAGTGCAGAGGATGATGTTTTGAAAGTCTTTAGTCTTCAGGTCCTGAAGACGAAAGGTGGAAAACCTTTGAAAACCCTCTACAACAGGCAGTTGCCATCCATTCTACAAAGTTTCAATATTGTTTCTTTTCTTACTCAGAAATTTTACCTTTTCTGTTTATTATGTTTACTTGTTTGTGTAAACACTTGTGCATAAACATAAATTTTTTGTTTCAATGACTCGTTGAAAGATAACTTTTACATAATATCTCTGGCTGTCTCTTTAGAAGTTGATAAACAGATCTTTCTGTGCACAACAGATTCTACAAGATTATGCTGAAATGGGACTGTTTCCAAGATCTCTTCTGTTGTGACATGGCCAAATCTTCATTCAGCAATTGAGCAGTGAGAGAATATGAAAAATTAGAAAACCATCCTTTCTAGTCACTGGTGTGGAAAGGAAAAGCTTGAAAAATATTCTACTACAAAATAACTAAACATTTATGCATTTCATGCTTCAAACAATGTTTGTTTCTGCTGGTAACAAAACACATTTTACACTTGTTAATGGTACAGCTTAATGTTGCCATCAACACTTGTTTTTTTTTATAATACAGTAAATATTTTGCTTTTTGTGTGCCATTTTTGTGTCATATGGAATAATGATCTAACATGAGGTCACCTTAATTTTGTTTGAATTTTGTATTAGCATTGTACTAGTTTAGGGATTATTGTCAATCATGCTCAAACTTTTAGTTTTCCAAATGATTCAGGTTTTTATTTTATCATAAAGAAATTAAGACATTCTGTAAGGAAGTATTGGCTGATATTGTAGGAACTTTACTGATAAGCATAGTTTGTATGGAGCACTTAATATCTTAAATGTATTAAATCAATATCATAAAAGTGTTTTAAAATACATTTACTCCATTGTTTAATAAAAAACATCTTGACTGTACTTTACTGATGATGATCATGTTCCCTTCATTAAGCATCACCTTGAGCAAAAATGCTTAATAGTCAAACCAGTTAAGCTTTTAAACATAAAAGTATTGTGCTTTGTTTTTCAACATTATGCTATAGGCTAATGGCTGAAACTTGGACATTTTTGGTATTACTAGTTTTCTTGTATCAATCAGACAAATAAATTACATACTTTCCCTGTGTTGTTCAGATGTGAATAAAACACGAACATTCTGTAAATCAGTTTATCTCAAAGTATGCTTTTAAACTACATTGATAAATTTATTATTAAGGCTTACAAAATCATAATTTCTTCAACATTCACATTGAATGTAACTAAAAGAAAACCATGCCTTGTTAACATGATTTTTTCACTCAAATGATTGTGAAGTTCAATTCTTTGTGTACATGAATATTAATTTAAAAAAAACATTTTGTGTACTGTACTGTACTGTATTAATATGTTGTAATAATAAAGCAATATATCAGATTTGTTCACTACTTCAAACTAACATGTTATCAATATAGTTTGGGCATAAGTTTGTTCAGTAGCCTATGTGAAGAACTAAAGCCTCGGTGAAAATGATTTGTATGTTCTTGTAGCATAGACTTTTGTTTATCATAAAATAGTTGTTCATCAACAAGCAACTGCAGTTTAATCTTCATGAAAAGCTAAAAATAGTAACAGTTAGGCCAAATAAGTATAATATGAAAGCATTGTAATTCCAATAGATTTGCATATCTATGTGTAGTTTGTCAAGTTGTTCTTTAAATCTCTGTTATTATCTGTGTAACTGAATGTGAAATCATTGTATATGTATATAAGGAAATTTGAGTTCTAAAGCCTTTGCTGTTACCATTTAGTTCTGATGGACAAGTGCTGCCCCCCTTAAGATGAGTGCCTATTAAAAGTCATTGCCTTCTATCTTTTTTTTTTTATTGTGGGACAAAAGGAGATATTTACATTTATTTTAGATATATATATATATATATAGTTTTCATGTTTTCTAGATCACGACTATTATTGATAAATCACCAAAATACTTAAGCTTATTAAAGCAAATATATTTCACCATTCCAGCAAATTCTTTCAAGACAGATTATGATTTATTGTTGCATTAAAAACTGTTTTTTGATTAATGCACATGGATTTAGTGCTTAAGTGACCAGAATTATCCCTAAACATTCCAAACACCATAAACTTAGTACTTATATAGAAGTGTGACTTTACTTTTTTAAAACCCATACAGTTTTAAGCATGTTGTATTTAATTTGTTTCAAACAACAGGAATAATCATCCTTAGTTATTTTATTTCAATAATAAAAATATCATTTGTATAAATAGGCAAGTTTAACACTGTTCCAGAATTTTTTTAGCTTTCAGTTTGTTTAAAAGTAATTTTGTTTTTTGATATCAAAAAAATTTAAAATGCTTATTTTTACAGTTAACTTCTAACCTGTAGATCAACAGCAGTGTGAATATTCATCAAAAGTTTTACTAAATATTTTGCTACAGAATCTGTAAAAGCTTTAGTTCTGGTGCATCAAAAATATAATAAGCTTATTAAAAGAAAAATTAAGAGAAGTGAGACTATTCATAGTGGTAATAAGTATTGTGCTTACCATTTTATGGTTATCGGAAGTTAAACTAGGAACTTTATTATAGTTACAATCCTTTTTTTTTCTTTTTGCCTCTTAGAATGCACAGATCTCTGTTGGTCAGTAGATGCATCTCTAATATTGTTTATTCACATTAATAAGAAAATAAAGCTTCTCAAAAATTGAAAGAAATCATCTTTGAGCCAAAACATTTTCCTTCATGTTACTTTTGTCTTAATACATTCATGGCTAAAATTTTTTAAGCTTTAATTGGGAGTGTTTTTTCACACTTTGAAGTTATACTTTAATGTTTATAAAGAATTTCAGGAAGCGCATACTTTTTGTATTTATCATGTGTCTGTGTATGTAAAATTCTAACTGGTGTAATTAAGCAATAGTTAAACCGCTGGACAGTATTGGATTACATACATGACATGCTTTGTTTGATATTATGATGCATGATTGATATTTTAATTGGCTTGGTCATTATAATCATATATATTTACAATTAACCTTTTTTTCTGAATTTGCCAAGTTGTCATTATGTATTTGAAATGTTGCAATATCTTTATTTAAGGTTACTCTTTATTTGATACGTTTACTTCTTTATGCTTGTTGTATTATCACAACAAAATATAATAAGGTGCTGGAACAAGCAACCCTAGAAGCCAGGCATGTAACACATGTGATTTTTGCCATGCATATGTACAGTGTTCTAGAAAAGGCCAAGAAAAAAGTAGAGATATGTAACATTAAAAATCTAGTTTCCACTTCCAAATTCTTAAGAATTTTTTAATACTTTGCATAGACTGCTGAAAATATTGATAATTCCCCATTTAATAGCTTTTACAATGTATTAGTTTGATTAAAAATATTTAACCAAAATGTGATTCAAAACTAAGACTAACACATACAATCAAATCATGCAAAGCTTCATTCAGGGTTATTGCATGTTTAGAATTGGAGGGGATAGTAAAGTTTATTTCTTTAAATTTACAATAGCTTGGTATAGTTTAGATCCTACTTTGTACAGAGCAAACAGAAAATAATTCAGTTTGAAGGGAAAATAATATCTTTGAAAACAAAGGTGCAAGGAGTAGTTTACTTTATTTTACTAAAATTAAACAAAAAATAATCTGTCTTTTTTTTTTTTCCATGAGTATCATTTTATCCTGACTTGTTGTGAAACTTGAATATCAAAAGGGCAGAATGTGATGAAGCTTATGCCTCAGGTTTAACTTGGAAAGCTGCCTATAATTCAATGACTTCACTATTTAATCAATATAAAAACCTAATGCAAGTTTTTAATTTTTTATCTTGGTGAGGACATTTACCTTGTACCCTACACATGTATTTAGTGATTCTTTTAAGTTAAGAACCTCTACAAAATGGATGACAGCATTTGCGGTGTTATTGTCTTGACTAGCACACTTACGGTTGAATTTTTTTGCCATGGGCTTTTATGTCCTAATTTCTAGGACTGCTGTTTGTTATGATAACTTTGTTTTTAAAGACATATTCAAAGCTGAACAATGTTGCCAGTTATGTGCAAAGCTTATTAAAACAAAAGTTTTAAGTGTTTATTGGTAAGTCACACAAACACGTATATATATGTGTATACATTTGCTAATAAAAAAGCACATTATGGAAATTTAATTTCCAGTTCTGCATTTAAGTTTATTAAAATTCATAGTTTGTGTATTTTGTTAGTTTAATTGTCTGTGTAGTTGTGCCGTTCATTAATTGTTTTCTCTGAATGTCAACCAAGTAAAGGATGTTTACATCTTTCTCTCAGCCATTCCTTTTTTGCTCAGGTGTTTTTATTTTTAAGTAACAAGATAAAGAAATTGAATACAGTACTTCATTGTTATGTTACCATTTTTGCAGTAATTCCACTTATTTTGTTAGTGATGCCATTCTTGTTTATATAATTTCCATCTTAACAGTATGTGTCTGGTAAGAAAAATAAAAAATATGGTATGCACATAATTTTGCAGTTAAAAGCACAAGGCTGAGAAACATGTAGTTAATTTAAAGCATCATTAGGAAAGGTTTCCAGATGCTGCTTTTTATTGGGTTTTGTGTGAGGGAAACTGATGAGCACCAGTAACTTTTTGATCTATAGACTATCAACAGTCAGACATACTTTTCTTTAATAGATAATCAGTGTGTATTTTGAATATTTAAACTTTGTCTGTTGCTACAAGTGCTCTTGTTTTAAAATATTTTAATATTTCCACCATTAGGTATTGTAATTAGCACGTTTAAAACAACAATTACAAAATTCATTGCTTTTTTTTGTATGAAGTGGACTTATGCTTGTAATGAGTGATTTCCTCTTTTTACTTTACTGTGATGTGAATTTGTTTCTATATTTGCCTTTTTTTTTCAGATTGTCTTAAGATATATTTCTTTTACAAGTAGTTATTGTTAACAAAAATGGATATCAGTATACTTAGAAAATAAAGTTCACTTATTAAAATATGATAAAACTTTTCAGAAGTAGATATGCCAAACCTATAGAACAGGATCTGTCAGCAAACCTAATTGGAGTTGTTCATCTGGAAACAACACTTCTCCATATTGTTCCAATGGATAAATTATAAGTAAGCAAAGTGCAGTTTTAAAAATTGTTAGATTCACATATACATGCTAACTTTTCTAGGCCATGATGTTGAATGTTTCAGCATTTTTTTAGGATTTTCTTTATAAAATTAGAGGTAATATTTTCAAACAAGAATTGTTAGGGCATTAAACTTTACTGTACTTAATAATACTTGAGAATTTAAGATAGGCATGTGTCAAATACAGATAAATTAACTTTGTTTATGAATTATGATAGACTTAATATAACATTAATAATTGACAATTAATGGAATAAACACTCGGTGCTCTTTTGCTTATTTTAGTATTACACTCCAAAATCTAGATTGGTTTGGTAACAAAAATAAATATTTTATGAAGTGTGATTAACATTACAAATCCTGGTTGTGTTGTAAAATCAGTTTCAATCAATCCAATAACAATATAGTATTTTTTTGTAGTATACAAACTTTTCAGTTTTTGTATTAAAAACACAGTTTTTTCAAACACCTATGTATTTTTCAAAGTATTTCTTCAAGGGTATAATCACTCTGAAACAGAACTTAATATGTATTAAAAGTAAAAATTCCAAAATCTTTGTAGCCAAAAGAAAAACATATATATATAATAATGCAAATCTTCATACAAAAGATGAAATTTCACTTCAAACGTTTGTTTACGTTTTAAAGCACGTGATACTTAGCATGCCCACTACAATTTCCTGTTATCCTAGTTTTGGCTTTTTATCATGCTATGGTACTTTACAATCTCATTCAAATGTTTCATTAAGCTAGTGCATTAACTGTACTATATTTAATGTAAAAAATCGTACAAGACTGAGGAGATATTGTGGTTTAATTTTTATCCATCATTTCAAAAAACTATGTGACGTTTTTCACACAGTCTCAAACTGTTAAGCTTTTACAAGCAATAAAAAATAGTGTTTATTCTCTGAAATAAAGATAATTCAAGATTAATAGTTTCTTAGATTTTATGCATACTAGCATCTTTTTTTCAAGTTAAGTACCATCTAATAATTATAAGATATGTATTATGTCGATCTCACTTGATATTCATTATGCAGCACCTGTATGTAACATTTATTAACTAATACATGAAAGCTACTGGTATGCTGAATGTTATTCCCATCATCTTATGAACATGTTGAATTTTAACTAGTAAGCTATTCACTTTAAAAGAAAAGTAGAACCAGTTTACTAACAAAAATTCACACAATGAAGTTATTTAATCTGAGGTCTTGTACAAAGTTTTATCTTTCAAACAGATATAATCCACAATCACTAACCTTCTGTATACTGTAGGTGCTACTCCCAGTGTATTGTATGGTAGATAACTATCTTGATTGTTGGTGTGATGACAATAAATGATATTTATATGACACAACTAAACAATATGATTAAGTGATCAGGTTAGACAAATGTGTTGATGATGCAGCATTTGTCAGTGCATCTAATGACGTTATCACAGTAGTGCAAACTAAACTTACTGATGAGTTTCTGTTAAGTGTTTATTTACAGTTTACATCAGAAATCCAAAACTCTACTTCTACTAAGAACTTAAACAACTCTTCAGATTATTAACCTATAGGCCTGAAGCTTTAACCAACTGCTTATAAATGACATGCATGAATAAATTTATTCTGGTAATTGCCATTGTTCTATCTTGGGTAATATTGCCAAAAAAATTCATCATAATTGGTTTTACAGGTCAAGTCAAAATGTAAAATTTTTGAATTGTGTGAATATGAGATATTTACATCAAAAGTTATGTACTTAGCACAATAAATCATTAATTTTGGTGAAACATGCACATAACCAGTTTTTCAACTCGCTTACTTGTGCTAAAGACTTTATCAGTACAACAAACTTCCATATTTTTGAAGATTGTTAGATAAGTATGTCTTCTGTAAACTACTTGGTCTAGCCACAAACATTTGTAAGGCAGAAGTCGACCTGCAGTATTCTTTTAATTTTAAAGAACTTGCTGTAAAATCTGTACAGTGCAACAGAAATGAATAAAAGTACCTTAAGTACACCTTTAGCTGAAACTCAACAGTTGCATTTGTAACTTTAATAAGTAATAAATTTTTAAGTACTTAAAGAAATCTGACCAAATGGTTCAATTACAGATTCACGTAAATTGATGAACAACATTGTCTTGTAGGTAACATTTAGACATACTATAAGAGCAGTATTCATTCTTTTCAATAAGGTATTCAAGGTTTCACAAAACTCTGATTCAGGGCGACAAATCTAACCTCATAATTTATTAAGTTTTGTTGAATCATTAATATCAATATATTTGGACTCACTTTTGGATAAGAAAGTTTACTTTAAAAAAATTTCATTTATTAAACTTTGTATATTTTATTTTGTTGTCCATGCCTTACACCCCCCAGTGGCAAGACTTATAACAAAAATCTGGATTTTGGTAGCTGTGGTGGGCACAGTGCAGATAGCCAGTTGTGTAGCCTTTTGTGCTAAACTACAAACAAAACCATGCCTTACATTTAAATCATTTTGTCAGGATACTTGAACAGCAGTAGTTACAAAACATTTAAATATACGTTTTAAGTAACACTGTGTTCTTTTATCAGTTATGAATATAGATATCTGTGCATTTCATCTGATGTAAACCTAGCACTTTCTAAATAATTATTTAAAAAATAATATTGTAAAGTAATAGAAAGTCAGTTTGTGTATCACAAGTTTTTTTTCTAACAACTGTGAACTTTGTGTTTTTCTACTTTAGGCTTAGGTGATTGTAAAAGTCATTATTCATATATAAGGGTAGTTTTTCACTTTATACTAAAACTTTGACTCTTGTTTTACCTGTTTACATTTGATCATGCATGTTAGTAAATCTTTCTGCTCAATAAAGCTCAAAGTAATCTACCTCTTTGAATTGGCCTCTTTTTTTTTTTTGTTTCTTTCAAATCTTAGAAATGAGATGACCCAAAACTAGAAAATAAAATACTGTAAAATATGTATTTCACTACCTTGTTTTAGAGTTGTTCACATCATTGTTGTTGCTTTACCATAAAATCACGTATGTATTTATGATAACTGTGTAGCTTTATTTGTACAAAAAAGTGAAACTGCTAGAAACATTAACCATGTTTATATTCTTTGACCCATTCATGATAACTGGCTGAAGCAGATAATGTTATCTTTATCACTATACTTGAAATGGGTAACACAGTTACAAATCATGGACAATTAAGTATATAGTGTCAGATAATCAGATTTGAAAAATAATAATACAAAATGCTTTTGATCTTTATAATCTTACAGTTAATTGAAAGTTAACCAAGTTTTCTTAAAATAAAACCAGAGATATGGTATCCAGGTGACCTTTACCACTAAATTTGAGAAGGTTACTAGGAGTGTGAAGATTACTACACGAAAGTCACAACAGTTGAGTATGTTTGTTCTAATGAATGAGAATTAAATGATAGAATATCAAAAAAGGTAGGTAAGGCATAACAAAATGTTATAATTAGGACTGAAAAAGTACTGTCAATCATTTTTTGCAAAACACTAATACTTCCACATTGTGCACGTCTGTAAAACCTGTGCAGCTGCACGTCATAGATTTTAAGTCTGTCATAAATTGTATCATCTGGATGGAGCTACTTCAAAAGATTCAACCAGTTCTTGAAACAGCTGTGACAAAATGCATCAGACTTCTTAGAATTTAGTTGTTTCAGAAGTCAAAAAGTGTCTTACTAGAAAGTGTTAATGGCTTAACACTAGCTCAATTGTTTGAACTTTTACTAATGTACATGTGGTCCCACGTTCATATGCACACAAGAGATAGTTTTAATTACTATAGTAGCACAGAACATCTGCCTTCCTTTTTTTCAAGATATTTATTACAGCTTGTTAAGATGGTGAACACTATAGCCACATCGAAATTATACTTTTGTAATTTGTTTGCCAAAATTTTTAAATAATTGTATTAATTACACATTAAAAACTATGATTCTGTTTGAACCATACTTGTGTACTTGAAAAGTGAAGTATCCTTCAGTCATCTGGCAACAAGAAAATTAGAAAAATTATGTGCCTAAAATAAACCATGTCACAAGAAAGTGATGAAATAAAGCTACATTTACCATAATACAATACACAGTTTATAATATGCAGTGTTTCAGCAAGTAATACTACTTTTACACTTACCATAAACTGTTACAAAGCAAGAACTATCTGTCCAAATCATTTCGTATACAATACATTTCTATTTCCACTAACAAAGAAAACATGCAGTGTAAAACGAAAGGAATGTACTGTATTGTTTCCAAGTTGCAGCTAGAATGCAATAACATTCAAAACAACATAAAAGAACGAGGAACATAGTTTTAAGTGAAAAACTTCATAGTCAAATTTGCCTTATTAATCATCAATAATTAAATTCTATTGAAGGTAACTTGAACATTTAATTATTTTCCTCTTTAACCATTTTTATCTTTTCACTGTTTCCAGGATAAAGCATGCTTAGAATGACTCCACCACATAATAATAGAATCATCATGATGAACTAGATCGGGTATTACGAATTCATCTTGTACTACATTTAAGTACAGATGAAAATCTTTATCCTACTACATATAATGATTTTCCCCCAGTGGGATCTATTTTATGGACTTGCTACCACTTATGACTATCCTTTTTAACAGTAAAACATTTGTTGTGCAATTTGTATTACATTCTGCACTTTTTACCTGATTCAAATAAAAGTTACATAAAACAGTTGCATCATTTTTCTTTATTTATGCAAGGCTTCTGCAAAAAAAAAATACAATGGATTCCTGAAAGCAGGATATGAAGCTATATATTAGTAGTACAAAACTTTAAAAGTAATTCTGGGTAATACTCGTTACAAGAACCTTAAAGCCTTTGGGTGTTTATATATAATTACTACAAGTACAATATACATCTACCTTTGCATTTTTTTCTCCACAAATGTAACTGAAGATTGTATTATACAAGTAAATCAGTCACTAACCTTAATTCACGAGTTTGTATCTTTCCCAACTGTCTTAAACTTTTGCTTCATTATCTAAATCTTTTTGTTGTTGCTGTTTAGTTACATCTTTAAGTTCAGCATATTGTGTGTTATTTTCCAGGCTATTTTTCTATACACCCTTACAACAGGACAAGTATTGACAGCTACAACCATTATTTTGGCCTAATGTGTAGAAGTCAAAGTAAGCCTTTGATTACAAACATGTATTGAGAAGTAATAAAAAAAGTAATAGTGAACCTTAGTAAATAATACTGTTACCCAAAATTAGAAATCTTTCACTCTATTTTATGAGTTTACCAACACAGTACTTAAGAATAACATACAAGGTATAATAAATGAATATGAATTTTTATTTGACACCTAATTAACAAAGCCTACAAACAGATGAAACAATCAAAAACTTGGAAAACATGAAATCTGCATAAATAAGTAAAGTGTGTACAGAAGGTTGGTGTTCGGAAGTTTGTTTGGAACAATTTTATTTTTCTTAGACATAAAAGAAGTGCACATATTTTATATCACTGTCTGATACATTTAATATTCAGTAAGATTAAGCTTAAGAATAAAATACTATGTCACTGTCACCCTCAAAAACATCTCAATGTTTCTTGTTTTTAATATATCCTAAATACACTAATGTACAGGAGAGGTCTGACATTTCATGGACCATTCAAACCTAAAGAACTGCACATACTTTCAAGATACTGTCTTAAACTCCTCTATATGTAGCAACAAAGTGCCTGTAACACATAAAATACACAAGCTCGGCATAAATTTGTACACATCTCTATTAACAATTTCTTAAACATATCCACTTATGTGTAGTGACAAAAACATATCTTCTAACCTAGATTTGTCCCATTTGAATCACTAAATTTTTTATTTATGTGTAATGACAAAGCTGGATTATCTAGAATAGTTCCATCCCATGTGACTCACTAAAAGATTTGTTTCTCAGTTAAAACTAACAGTGTTATCCAAAGAACAAACCAAAATCTTTAGAGATTAGATAGAAATATGTTACTTCAAATTCACAAGTTTTTTTGTTGTTTTTTTATCAGTTGTACATAGTAAAAACTTTTATTTTATTCACAGCATTTCACCAGGTTTGCCTGGCATCATCAGGTGAGATACGAGAACTAAGACCGAATAATGCTTCAGAAATTTAAAAGAAACTCTGGGTAATACTCATTACAAGAATCCAAAAGCCTTTGGGTGTTTATATGTAATTAATGAAAATACAAATCTCACCTGATGATGCCTGGTAAACCTGGTGAAATGCTGTGAATAAAATAAACAAAAGTTTTAATACGTACAACTGATAAAAACTTGTGTGAACTGAAATCTTGATTTCTACAATGGTTTCAGTACAATTACTATTGAATTCAAAAAAAAAAGCAATGTGCACTAGGTATTTACTTTCTGATTTCATAATGACATGCACAACTCTAGTCATTATCAAAAAAGCCTGTTCAGTGAACTTGTTTCAGAGCTTCTTTAGCTATTTTCTAAATCAAAGTTCTCAACAGTTAGTCTAGAATAGAAGATTATAAAAGTCTCACAAGCAGCTGAAGGTAGTTATTTGTAAAGCTGCAGTGCAGCACATTTATAATGAAAGCATTACTAACACAAAGACGAGTGTATATAGACTGCAAGAATTACCCTGCAGTTCTACAAACACATGTACATTACAAATATAGAGAACTGTTCCACCAGTGATTTTTTTTTCTGTTTTAATAGACAATACAAGGAATTTATTTTCAACTTAAGAATAAAGTACAAGAGCTCTCTAAACAAGGACATTGCAGACTTATGGAATCTGGCAAATTTTGAAGGAAAAAAATCAGTTTGGCCACATATAAAGTTATAAACGAAAACAAGGGTGCACCATGGGAGTTTGAGACACAAGACCTTCATCTATGTCTGACAGCATTGTCTTTTACGCGTGTCTGAGCTATCAGTTGGGGCAATGGAAATTGCTTTCACATTGTCTCCTGATGGAGAAGGATCATTATCAGCATCATTTCTGATCTGCTTCTGGGATACAATTCGATAAATTTCTGGAAACAATAAATCCAAAGATAGAAACATAAAATGTTATCAGTTTCATAGTAGTATAAACTTCTTACACGATACCTTTGATTCAGTATTTGTTTAAGTACTGGTCTAGGAAGGGTATATTGAATTAAATTTCATTGTAGAGATAATACTAAAACATAAAAATTTTTTCTAAATTAATAAAGTATATATATTGTACGCATTTGTCTAGATAATACTGTTACTCTTAAAGCTTTTCTTAATATGTGATTCACCTATGTCACAGGCAATAAATAGAAAAAGTATTAAATACTTAACTTAATACACCACATTCATAATATTAACATACCTGTTAGAATTTGTTGAAAGGCAGCTTCCACATTTGTGGAGTCCAAAGCAGATGTCTCAATAAAAGACAAAATGTTCTTCTCTGGAAATAAATAACATTATAGACTTATTTATAAATCAAGACAAAAAAAGTTAACAAAAGTATATTACAACTAGTAAGCTCTATTAGTAACGTACACCAGTTTACCCATCAAGAATAACATAATGTCCATCCCTGCTGTCCCATCCTCTAAACTAAACAAAACTATCAATAAATAAATTTTTAAAAAAATCTTAAAGCCAGCCTTTATCATATATATATATACTTATCAAGCTTTCTCTTAAACTCACTTAAATGTACTGTCTCCACAACATCCCAAGGCAACCCATTCCAAAGGCCAACCATCTAAACAGGTCTAAAAACCAACACAACTATGTGATAGTCTAAAATGGATTCTTAAAGAAATTAATATATACAAAAGTTAGTGAAAAACTACAAAGAATAACACTGGTTTAACCATTTTGTTTCATCTACAGGTCTATGGACATGAGACTCACAAAATTACTGACTGCCTTAGAACTGCAGGAGAAGTAGCAAGATAATTTCACAAAAAAAACTAAACACCTGTACAACATTTTGAAAATATCTGAAAAGCAGGCAAAATGGAAGTGAAGTTTAAGTTTGATATATTTAGGTGTTATGCATGTTACTACAAATTCTTTGTGATAGTTAAACATTTTGTTATTTAGTCTCTGTAAATTCTAAAAAGCAAAATTCAGTGTGACAATACTTCTATCTAAAACCCTGCACCTTGGAATGACTACACTCTCTTCAATACCTTAAGACATTCCTTTTATCAGGAATGAAGCACTGTAGTTACAAAACATTTTATTAATTTCACGCCATTTTGTTTTTCTTCTTTCTCTCAATTCAAACAATCAATGCAAGTGTTTAGACTTAGATGGGACCAAAGGCAATTAGTTCAGGCAATACTATCAGGTGGTTGTTGATATCATGTGATCATTAGCATGCACTTGTTGCTGTGAAAGTAAGTAAATAAATATAGCCCCCATTTCCCAGGACAAACAGTAGTGAAGTTAGGTTAGTCACACCAAAAGGCCTTTGCTTATCATTGTATAGTCTTGTTGTGATGAGTAGATTAGACCTATTCTGAAACAACCTTCCTGGCCTATTGATATCACAGTGATTTTTTTTTTTTTTTATTTATTCATTGCAAGAATCCACCTAAGTTTTAGTTATTTAGTCTACTATTTTAATAATTGCACACATTGAAGTTTAACTTTAATAAATGTTATACAATAAAGTTTAATAATGAACCCTTTGTTTTTTTGTGTAAAACTGTATGTCTCGTACCATGACCACACAACCGACTCAAAATATTTTCCACAACTTTTCTATATCGGACCTGGCTCCTGGATCTGAAAATATTTGTTGAGGCCTGCCTTAAGAGTTAATCTATTCAAACTGAAATTAATATTTAATACTTTAAACAACAATTTATAACACTTAACTATAAACATTTATGGTTACTGTTCTTACTTTTTGAGGAATATGTAAAGCAAGATAAAATGGTCATTTTATATAGCTTTTTAAGAACAATTTGATGAAAGGTAAAAAGGTAAACCCAAATTCATCCATGAGATTAAAATGAATTATAACCTTCCTCAAGTTCAGCCAATTACATACTATTTTCCAAGTTATTTTCTGATATTTATAAAGTAAAATTAGAACTGCATATCAAGACTTCACTTTAACCAATATGTTATTGAATTTTGTCCAACAGTTAGGTTGTATAAGCAGATTTTGATACCGAATAAGTAAAAAATCATCATACATGGTTATTCAAAAAATCTAGAATTAAACTTGTATATAACATAAATAAAAACACGTAAACTATAAATGTAAAACCTGATTAAAAACTATTACCAAACAATATTAAACAATGACCAAGTTTTTACACTAATTAGTGAGCAAACTGGTTATTTCAATGTTTCAATGATTAATTAATTGGCAAATTCCACCAGTCACCCAGTTCTACTTACCAGTGAATAAGCATTTGAACTAAATATAAGTTTTAATAGTAGAGCATAAGAAAGATCTAAACATGTATACACACGCATAGCTGTATTACACAGATTTTAAAAACACATAAAAAACTATGACAAAATCTAAAACCAAAATAATTTGGGCATGTCACTTAATAGAGTTAGATGTTTTTCATTATAAACTACAATTACATTCACTAAAAGAGTAGTAACTGATAATCAAAATTATCTACCTATTATTAAATACCAATTACAACAAAATAGAATAAAATAACACATTTTGCTCAAAAGCTAATACAGCACATAACCAGGTAACATAGAGAGTGATGTGTGAATGGATAAAAACAAAAATACAGGATTTCAGAAATGTTCAGTATATTTAGAGATATTTGTTTTAGTTTGGTCAATCTCATCAATTATTGCCTACTTTAAAAAAAAATACATATACTTTACTAGTTTCAATTGATTCAAATCGAGATTTGTCTTTACTTAACCTTAGTCATCCTGGTACAGAATGTTTAACACCACTAGTAGCAATATGAAAGGTTTTTTTTGTGTGAAAAAAAAAAGAGTATGGTCAACTCTTGCTTCGTACAATTGATTGAGGCTTATAAAAGGGGAGAGTAGATGGACGTTTAATATAAAAACGAAAAAATACATTTTGAGCAAGCCTTTTTTCTTTTCATGTTAATTTTAATTTAGGAATGCACTGTGGCAGGCAGATGTTTAATAATCAAGTTATGAAGTACTACAAATGATATTAAGATAAACAACTATTTTAAGCACAAATTAAGTAAAAAAAAACAGTAACTAACTAAAATCAGTTTACAATATATCAAGTTAATTACCCAACTGGTTTCAATGTACCACATACTTCATTATCAAGGGTATCTTGTGGTACGTTGAAACCAGTTGGGTAATTAACTCTCTATATATTGTAAACTGATTTTATTTAATATTTTTTATTTAACTTGTGCTTAGAAAACTATTTGTGTTCAGAAATATTTAATGTTGTTTTTTTGGGGTCAACACAAATCTTTTATGTTCCTACCAGTATTCTCCAAATTTTCAATTTTTTTTTTTATATATTAAAATACTGAAAATTTTCTGAGGAAATTATAAAAAGTGCAAACCCCTAAATTTATTTTAATTTTTATCAGTATTTTATACAAAAACATAAAATATCTATTCTTTAACATTGAACAAGGAAAACTACGAAAAGATACTTTCTTCCTCCCACATATCCAGTCAGACATACAAGAATTTGGAATTATTTTCCACAGTTAGGCTTGCACTTATCCCAGGGCTAAGACAACCATTAATGTCAAGCCCTGTAATATGAAGCTGCTGTGCAAAAATACCAAAATACTCTGTGCAACCTACTCAAAACCTGCTAAATAATCACATTTTAGTTCTTAACAAAGATAAATTGACAAATTTCATTCAATCTTTATCAAAGTCAACAGCATTAATACAATGCTGTAAAACTGATAGTTTGCAACATGTAACTAAAGATAATCTATCATTTGTCAAGTTCAATTAGAATCTCAGCATTAGGAATGTTACATATTAAACAGTACATGTAGAAATGTTTAAATTCCACTTTTTCTTTTAACATGGAGACAGTGTATCCACAAAAACCTGTTTCCAAATATACCTTCTAAATGAGCAATGTAAAAAATAAACAAAATTAGTCCTAACCAGCAAATGCCCTGGCCTCATCAGTTGGGACAGCTCTCAAGTGTCGTAAGTCACTTTTATTACCAACTAACATAATAACAATGTTCTGATCAGCATGATCTCGTAGCTCCTTAAGCCAACGTTCCACATTCTCATAGGTTAAATGTTTAGCAATATCATATACTAGTAGAGCCCCAACAGCACCACGGTAGTATCTGAAAGTATACAATTAACAGATTTTTAGCAATGTTAGATAATTTAACATTAGACTTAAAATCACTAATTCAGATAAAAAGGACAGACATTTAATTTGAGGTTAGCTGGTCACTTTAATGTAAAATGGTGTTAAATAAAATAAAAAGTTCAATTTAATCTTTTCACAGTCTCTATAATGAAGTATTAAATACTTTGTCTTCAAAGAACTTAACTAATCATAATAAAAAAAATATTAGTTCAATGTGAAACTTCATTGTCATAAGGTAGAAAAATCTATTTGTTCATTAGTTTAAATTTATCAGTATCTTTTTGCAATGAAAAGTTCAAAAAATCAGTAAAAAGGTTGAGGGTATGATCAAAGTTTTATAACAGAATAATATATTGCAATTTAAAACACAAGGTGCCTTGTCCTTTTCAAGACAAGTTTTGTACTTGTAGCATAATGTTTTACATATCATAATTAATTTAGTACAGAGAATAAACTTGAGACTTAATTTTTTTTATATACCAATTTTTATGCAATGTGGAGTGGCTTATCCATCACTGTCAGTCCCAGTGACTACCAGTTCAATAACGTGTCGCAAATTCTTCAATATGACATGCTTCACTAACAGTACTACATACCATACATAGCACAGTAACTATAATTCTGTTTTTTCCCTGAGGAAACAACATTAACATTAATAACTTGACTGCTATAATAATGATACGTAGTTTAAGTAGTTGTAGACTGGTACAAATTATATGTGACTGTAATGGTTTTTTTGGAAGAAAATGATTAATACCAGTATATCACAATACTCTGAAATCACACTACATGATTAGATAATTGAAGTTGCTCAAAAACACTTGCAACACCTTTACTGAATGGCTACACACTAAGCTGCTCCCGTGAGTCTCATCACACTCCATTATCAGTGTGTCTAGGTCTCACAACAGCACAATGTATAACCATTATTCTATAGTATGTGTCACATGACCAAAACCCCAATTTACATAAACAACTATTGCAATCACAAGATGAGATATACTTACCAAGTTTAGTGATTAACCTGAATCATTGTAATTGGTTTACTGATACTAATGAGTGGTATTTGCTAAATGATTAATTGACAGCCCCATTAATCAATTAGTAGTGTTCCTCAAGTCACTGGATATATAAGCAAAATAAAATATAAAAAATTAGTAGCAGACACTGACAGCCAGTTGTCTTCCTTTCAATCAACAGTTCAAAATTACTGACAGTGGCAGACACCCTTGGTAGTTTTGCCATATCAAAGACAGTGATAGCAACTTTGGTGGCAAATGGAACTGAACCGGAAACTCTCGAATCACCAAAGCTGAACAAACTTGAATTTGAAAAACAATTATAAGGCTAAATAAAACTTGGCAGAGCACAGATAGTAATAACCAGAAATACTAATTTCAATTAGTTGATATTTTTGTGACAATTGATTTAATCATAATTTCAATTAATTGACCAGTTTACACCAATCCTTGTAATCACTGCTCATAGATAATTGATTAATCACTCAATTCTAAAAGCAGTAGCAACTTCCTCTAATACTTTTGACAACAAAATTCATGATCAAGATTCAAATGAAAGTAAACACTAAACTCTTGATAAACACAAGTATTAATGTTTTGAATTAATCTAAAAACAGTCTAAATGCCAATCTAGATATTGAAACCTTTATGCCAAAGCTGTTAGATTTTAATCAAGTTCTCCCAAACTTGAAAGTCTGAAACTATAATGCTGCTTTTACATACAAATAATAAAATGAATGAAAATATGAAAAAAGCTCATATATGCTGAAAGAAGTCTAGTAAGCTACAATCTTTCATTTATGTAATTTTAACAATTCCCCTGTTGCATACTATTAACACAGTTTTGTACAAATCATGATGGTCTTACACATGAAACTATTGTTAACAGCGAAGTACCCGATTTACTGTTGTAGTAATGTTCTTCCTTCGTTAGGCTTGTTCTTTGAAATTGATTAGTGAAAATAAGGTCAAGTCCAGTCGATGTAAAGGTAAGTAATTACTCTATCTATTCTTTAACCTTTAAGCTACTATCGCTTGTACATAGTTGTACTTATAGGCCTAAGTTTATATACAACATTTTCACTTTGAAATTCAGTAAAACTTTACTCACCAAATGGTTTTATGACTCATGTACAATTAAATAAACCCTTACAAGTTCAAGGATAATAGATCGAGTAACTGTATTTACACGATAACTAACACTGATCCAAATATTGGCAAATGACTGGCACTCTACCAATTGAAAAATTGAATGGTTCGCTACTAACTGTTTACTTGTATTTATAACTAATGTACCTCTCTAGATCTTCCTATTGTCACCAATAACAAATGAAAATGTCTCGTTATAAAGATAATCCATTACGAGTGTATTCGTGTGTATCTGTACCATCATGATTAATCAATTAGCAAATTCCACCAATAGCCCTGCTATACTAGTAATCAAAGCATTATTACCCTGAAATATGTTTTAACCGACTGCAGGATTAACAAGAGTTGTATCTTTTAGGAAAGCTATAATTAAGGTTATAAGTGATTAATCAAGTGTCTTGACTAAAACAAATGTTGAATGGAAAAATTTTATACATAAGTTAAGAACAGAAAAGATAAAAGAATAGTAATGATATTTTAAGCAATTTCTAAAGTAAAATAGTGCAAAGTAAACTTTTTACTTGTTTTACTGACAAAGAGTAGAAGAAATTCATGAGCAAACTAATTTCTTTAAAAATAAGAAGAATTTATATTTACTGAAGAAGTAGCTGATTTAGAAACGGTTTAAAAACTTTCTGAGTATAACACCTAATCCTGATAAAAATTATCCTAAAACTTTGAAGTTTAACAATAATCTTCAATTTTCTAATCTTTTAATGATTTTCTGATTACTAAATATTCACCACAATGATCCCTGTTTTTAAAACAATGAAATCAAATAGCAAAAAAAAACACAACTAAAGGCCTACTTCTACACACATCAGATTTGATTTCATTTGTTATCAAGGAGTTAAAGTTTACAGTCAGAAGTTATTAATAAGAACATTTAGAAAATCACTATTTATAGGGTCAGATACATAGAGAGGGGTGAAGGGTTACAACCCTCCCCTTTCCAATAGTCTACCAAACAGTCTGGGTTAACAGTTCAGTTTTCCTGATAGTCTCAAATAAAATCACTGTCCCTGTGGACAAATACAGTTTTTGTACAAACTAAGATGACCCTGCAACCTAATTTTTTTAAAGTTTCATGACCTGATCTTCAGAAAGTTCAAAATTACGAAGGAAGATGTTACATTAATTCTGTATAAGATACTAGTAGTCTTATTTGAACTTCTTCCTCAACATACAATTTTGATCCTTTAACCATATGAAGGATATCAACATTTTGTATAAAATGCTGAGACAAGGTATTACAATAATCTATTTAATAAGATTCAGTGTTTGTGCATGTCACATAAATCCTCCTAAACTGCTGGACTCACCAACTCCTAAATACTGCCAAACAATCATCTTGGCACCAAGATTTGCACAAAGGTAAAACTTTTCACCCATCCCCTTAGGGAGCATTGGTATTTCATAAAAACTTCTATGAGGATTCCCTGAAAGTGGACCCCACATCTGGCATTGATTTACATTAGAGCACTTAAATAAGTAGGCCTACTAACTACCATTCATAACTATGTTAAAGAAATTAAACTTGCATGAGAGTGGCAATGATCACTAATCTGAAAAAGTGCAAAATAATAGATCAAGCATTAAATTTACGTTATAGTAGCCCTGTAAATGTGGGCTATAGACCCACAGATTTACTAGTAAATGTACATGGTACAAGTTAGTTAAGCTATTAGAGCAGAATAATCAGAGGTGACTTGATTTGAGTGTTCAAAGTTGTTAGGTGTTAGACAATCTTGCTTCGGGTTGTGGAAAGAGAAAAACAGAAGAACTAATTTGAAGGTTAGAGATAACAAAGTGTAGATTTTAAAGTCCAGGTGCAAATTTATTCTTAAAAAAAAGTTATAAACTTGGCTAATTTTGTTTGCACACATATGTGCAGTTAGCTTGAGTAAGCCATGAATATTTTTTTTTATAAATAAATAAAAAATATACAAATCTGGTTCAATAGTGCATGAAAGTAATGTTAAAATACTATGGAATACCAAAATAAAAAAAGTAACCTTGGGGTATAATTCACTCTCCCCCATAATGTACATGTACTTGTATAACTAAGTACTCTGAGCTACACATCGTGCATTATTAATCTGTAATCAACTATTACTTCTGTTTCTCTGGAACTATTCATTACATTTCAACCCATAATATTAATAAAGTCACTTACGCACTGGTGATAGCTCTATATCTTTCTTGTCCAGCAGTATCCCAGATCTGAGCCTTAATTGTTTTCCCATCTACTTGTATACTTCGAGTAGCAAATTCCACACCAATGGTGCTCTTACTTTCCAAATTGAATTCATTTCTTGTGAACCTGGAGAGGAGGTTACTTTTTCCAACACCGGAGTCTCCAATCAAAACAACTGTAAAATGAACTCTTTGTACATTTATTTAACACACAAAACAGCACACACTATTTTATTGGAACTTCTGAAAATGCACAGCATGAATTCAAATTACATGTAAGCCATCAACAATCAAAGGTTGATCCAGCTCAAAAGTGGGGTAAATTTAATTTGTTTACATGAATACTCATTACACAATAAAAAAAAAATTAGCTTTTTCTTGTTGTTTCAGATTGTGTACTATGGGTGAATACTAAGTGTAATGATTCCCTATACATGCAGTGAATCAAATATGGTTGCAGATTGAGTAATATTTGCTATTTGTGACTGTCTGAACCAGATATTTTCAATTCTAAAAAATTTGTCTTTCACTAGATATCTGAGGACAGTAAGAAATATGCAAATACCTTTGACATTTTGAACCAATAGCAAACTTCTTGCCACTATATAACTGTATTGGATTATGGTAAGTTTATAATTTATACTTTAAAGCCATATTTATGAATAAATATTTTGTATTTGTGACCACACATTCATGATACATATATCGTACTCACCACCTGGCATATTTTATACAGCTCAAGTGAATATTTATGAATTTGAGGTTACCACACTAACAAAATTTTACAATGATGGATGCTGAGGTTTATCTGTAGAAGTTAGAGAAAAACTAGTTAATTAGATTACAAGATAGATGGGAGAAAGCTAAGGGTTGTTATTAATAAGTTCCAGTACAACTGTTCCCTTTTTACTAGTGAAGTGTCTCAGGTTCAATGCTTGAACTACTGATTTCCCTTATTCACATTAAGAATATAGAAAGGTATTAACTAGTAACGGTTGCTGATGACCAGAAACTCTGATATTTCTAGCTGTACTGAGAATGTTGAGATATTATAGAATGACTTGGATTAATTGGTAAGTTGGATGAAATTACACAGTTAAGCATGAAAGTTTAAATACAGTTCAATTACTTATATTGTAAGTAGAAGATCAGTAGCTGTTTGCCCATTGCTTAATCTAGGCTTCATTTGAAAGATTTGAAGCATCTCCTTCACCTGTAGAATATTCTCATTTTCAGCTTTACCAATTACTTTGAAAACACTGGGGATTGGGACCATATCACATTTACTTAAAACATGCTAAACAATGCTTAAACTATCTCTGAACCCAGGATTAGAGTATTCCTTTAAATAATCTCTACTGTACATGGGCTCACACTCTCAAATTTTGAAGAAACTATACTCCATAATCAACAGATTCTATCCACAAGTTCACCTTTAACTTGTGTTTAGACCATTAGTGAGAATTCAGAACTTTTCAAATTTAAAAATTGTATCCAGTTTTCTAAACATTCACAACGTACTACTATACTTAGTGACGATGAAGTTTTAGGTAGACACAAGG